TAGTTCTTGCAGCAGGGATTTGTTTCCTCTTTTGAGCTACTGCATTTATAGGTGTAGGTCATGTTTATCGAATTGTATCAGATGACGCTTTTTTCCTCCTCTTTCTTCTTAGGGTTGAGCTCTGTTTATCCAGTCATTGAAGCCAGGTCAAGTGGATATCATCTGAGCGTGTGGGTGTTCTTGCACATATCCCCTCTCTTATCAGCTGGATGTGTCATTCTCCACTCTAGTTCTCTGTGGCTGTGTCACTGACTCTGGGCCCAAGAGTCCCCAGGTCTTGCCACACTGCTGGCCGACCAGGTCTCCACCCAGGTTCACAGAAGTCTATTGAACATTGTAGGGCTTAGCTCGCCGCTTCATTGCTGTTTTTCCCTCACTTCCCCTTATGGGTGATGAGCATGGTCACCAGAGCATGTATTCCCATTGAGTCTTAGTTTTAGAAGAGGGTTTGCACTGAGGGGACCTGACTACTTGCCTTGACGTCTCCTGGGCAAGCAACTTGCTTGTTCTTATAGTAATCAGTCAGTCTGCCTATATGGTTTTATATTTTTCCTGTAGGTTTTTCTTTCAAGAAGAATCTTCTGTTCTTCTAGCCGCTCCAGGCTGGTCTGCGCGTCCTTTCAGGTGGAAATTTCCCATCTCTGAAGATCTGGATATGGTTCAGTCTTCCATCTATAGTCTTATGTAATGCAGAGGCTCTGCAGAAAGCCTCCTTCACTGGGCACGTTATAGCCCCAATTTAGATATTCCAATGAGTTATAGGCAGAAGATGGACTTACAAGCTTTCTATACCATTATATTTTAATTCATTTTTCCACAAACTTGTTGAAACTCTCAATATTGAAAGTGCCATGGGCTGCCAAAAGAACCATCAGATCTGTGTTGGAAGAAGTGCAGCCAGAGTGCTCCTTGGAGGCCAGGATGGCCAAACTTCGTTTCTCATACTTCAGACATATTGTCAGGAGGGACCAGTCACTGGAGAAGGAAATCATGTTTGGTAAGGTGGAGGGTCAGATAAAAAGAGGAAGACCCCCAATGAGATTGATTGGCCCAGTGGCAGCATCAATGGACTCAAGTGTGGCAACAGTAGTGAGGTTGGCCCAGGATCGGGCAGTGTTTTGTTCTGCTGTGCATACAGTTGGTATGAGTCGGTACCGACTTGATGGTACCTAACAAAGTGTCCTATTGACAAATGGTTAAGCATTCAGCTACTAACCAAAAGGTTAGTGATTCAAAACCCACCAGCCGCTCCATAGAAGAAACAATCTGGTGGTCTACCCCTGTGAAAATTACAGGCCAGGAAACCTGTGAGGCAGTTCTGTTCTGTCATACAGGGTTGCTGTGAGTTGCAATACCCTTAACAGCAAGCACACAACACAAAGTGGTCATTGTTGTTTAGTTCTATCTAGTCAGTTCCGACTCATGGTGACCCTGTAAAAGTTTCTGAAGAGCAGCTGGTAAGTTGCAGTTCAAACTGACCTTGTGGTCCAGTGCTCATCCTACAGTACTGCACCAGCTGGTATTATTTAAACCATTATTTTGATTAAGAAATGCCTACTCACCCTTCAAGGGGGCCCAGATGCAAGCTCCTTCTGGGAGCCTTCCTTGATCTCCCCAGGCAGTCCTGGCTTATTCCACTGCACTCCCACAGCCCTGGGACACCTTCTAACACAGCCCTTTCATTTATTCACTCAGCAAACACAGTTCAAGTGCCTCATGTGTATAAAATGCTGAATCTAGGTGTAGGACACACAGTGGATCAACAGACAAACATGGCCCAAATTCTCATGGGACTTCCATTCTAGCAGGGGAGAGACAGAGGACATGTCACTAAGTAGGTAATGCCATTGTGATAAGAAGCCAATAAAATAGGGAACCAGTAGAGAAACTGAGGTGGGAGAGGGGCCGCTTGGTAGTAGACAATTTAAGACTTCTCCAAGCAGACAACATTTTAACTGAGTCCTAGTACAGAAGGCTATACTGCCAAGACTTGAGAGAACCACAATTGTCAAGGCCCTGGGGCAGGGGAATCAGTTTGGCAAAAGATCAGGAGACTAGAGCACACTTGACACTGTCCCAAGACTCCACCTTGAGGGTAGAGATCTGATTTCCTGCTTCTGCAGCACAAGAAGGACCTGGGACTCTGAGCAGCTTTTCTGATCCCCATTATGGAAGTAACGGGAAAGAATCAGTTAGCCCTTTTGCAACCCCATTCACAGCTTAGAGGACTATAGCTGGGGTGCTTGACCAGGTAGGGACTTCCTCTCTATACCAACAACCCCCATGGTAGTCTGTTGGCAGAGGGAAGCCAGGGAAAGATGCCCAGAGAGAGGAAGTGACCTGTTCAAAGCCACACACCTAGCAAGTAGCAGAGATGGAGCTAGAATCCAATTTCCTCTGCCTCCCTAAACATCAGTCTCTTTCCGTCTTTGGGCCATTAAAGGCTTGTTTCAGGAGGGATGCTACAAGCCCAACATGTTGTGTTACCTGAGAGCAAGGAATCCCCACAATTTTTTTCCCTCCAAGACCCTACCCAAAGCCAAGCAACCTACTAAACATGTGGCTAAGTTTGTGCCCTCTGTCTCGGGGGACGGAATGAGGTCAGCTGGAACCAAAGGGCTAGGGGCTGACAACTGAGGCCATGCACAACAGGACTGGGATGTCCTGAGCTCCAGGGCCACACCAGCATCCAGGCTCCACAGCCAGCTATCTGCAGCTGCCACAGGCAATGAGATAACCACCTTTCTAAATACAATTTCCCCAGTCAGCATGTGGTGGGCCTGCCACGGTATTATTTGCATGAAGTTAATTGCCAACTTTTCAGGTCCAGATAGGGACTGTTAGGAGCAAACTCAGTTTAACAAAGTAAGACCTTATCCCTTAAGAACAGTGACATGGGACTCTCCCAACCATCGTCTTCTTCCAGGTTCCAACAAAACTTCATTGGAAAAGTTTTATTGAAAAACAAAATTATACACATAAGTTCTTGGTTTGACAGCAACAAAGGCTTGTATTTCCCCTTCCCTTCCCATCTTTGAAAAACTAAAAAAGAAAAGGAAAGAAACAAAAAAAAACTTCATCCCTGTGATGTCTGATGCAATGATTCTTAAGCAGAGTTTACCAGGTTCCCCTCCAGTGAGCTACTTTCCAATACACCCTCACTGAAGCCAGGGCCAGGGCCATGGCCCCTCTAGGGATGCCTGGTTCCAGGGGCTGCAGCACCTAGTTTGTAGTTGAGGGAAACTGGGAAAAGGATGGGACAGAGCTGGGCTGAACCGTCCCTGCCAGCTCGATTCCGGTTCACAGATGAAAAAGCACTTGGTTATAAATATGGACACTGAAGCTTGATCCTAGGAGTCTGAGGCCAGAGCCCATGGCTACTGCCTGAGTCACACAGGCCATGGCTTCTCTGGGTCCAGCATCATGGTATCAGGGGCCCCATATCCAAGCACAGTGGATTCGGGCTGGCAAGGTTCACTCAGATACTGGGCAATCTGGTCTGATTTCCCACCCTACCCCATGGAATGTCCAAGGCCAGTACCTTAGATCCCCACCCCCCTACCCCCCATCATAGCACCCATATGTCTCAGGAGCCTTCGACTGTCTCCTGACATCCCGTGCCTGCCCTGGGGTCCTACAACTCATCACGCATCTTGTCACCCTTGGGCCGAACCAGGCGCCCAATGAACAGCAGGGAGCCACTCTGGGTGTCTCGCACCAGGAAGATGAAGGGGTGGTCAGCATAGAACAGCTTGGGGCTGCGGAGCTCTTCACGCCCGTAGATGTCCTGGTCAAAGGGGTTGCCCTCTGTGTCCCACTCGAAGGCGGTAGCATGGAACACGTTGGCCAGGTACAGGTCCTTCTTGCCTGACATACGTGACAAGTCTGCCTTGTTCTTGTCGATGGCTTCAGTCAGGCCCAGCTCAGCCAGGTGTTTCTGTGGAACCAGGTGAGCACCAGGTGAACTCATGGCAGGTAAAGTTCACAGACCCTCACCCTCCATCCATGTGGCTTACCATCTCCCGCCCCATCTACTCCTCAAAGAGGATGAACCTTACATATGCCAAACATTGCACCGGGCCCTTCAAACTACTGCTTCTTAATCCTCGGGGCAATCCAGCAAGGGATTCTAATGCCCACTTCACAGGTGAGGGATATGAGGCTCAGGAAAAAAGTCAGAATTCAACCTTGGTAGTCTGAGTAATACTGAACAGGGCTTTAACAAAGTTCGTTTCATGGACCAACAGCATCAGCACCAACAGCTTATTCAATAGTCACGTTCCCTGACACCAACCCAGAGCCACTGATCCAAGAACCTTTCTGTAATATTCTCCAAGTGATTCTTAACACCCTCAAGTTTAAGAACTATGTCCACATAACTCTAGGACTTATATATAATTTTGGACAAGTTACTGAACCTTTCTGAATCTCAGTTTCCACATCTATAAAACAGACTATATAGACATACCACAATAAAGGGATTGTCACAATAAAGCAAGTGACACGAATTCTTTGATTTTCCGATGCATACAACAGTTATGTCTATACTGTAGTGTAGTCTATTAAGGATGCAATTTGTTGTTGTTGGTTATGTGTCTTGGAGTCGGTTCTGACTCATAGCGACCCTGTACAGGGTTTCTGAGGCTGTAAATCTTTACGGAAGCAGAAAGCCTCATCTTGCTCCTGTGGAACAGCTGGTAGTTTCAAACTGCTGACCTTAAGGTTCGCAGCCCGATTCATAACCACTACGCTACCAGAGCTCCTTTAAGGGTGCAATAGCATTCTGAAAAGTTTGAAATGTTGTGAGAATGACCAAATTGTGACAGAGACACAAAGTGACTACATGCTATTGGGAACATGGTGCTAATAGACTTGCTAGAAGGGCTGTCACAACCTTCAGTTTGTAAAAAACAACAACACAGTATCTTCAAAGTAAATTGCAGAAAACACAAAGAATGCCTTTAGTTCCTCCTAAAAATTCGTTTTGAGGATTAAAAGTCTAATATACATATAACACTCTTAGAAGAATGCCTGGCATGCAGCAAGTGCTCAATTATATTTTGCTATTGCTGTGATCTCCACCTTCCCAAGGGAAGGGCCCAGACCTCCTCCCTCAGCCTCTGCCACAGGAGAGCCCAGTACTGCCTGGCTACCTGGGGTCTCAGAGAAGACCTGCTGAGTTGATGAATGACTGCCCCAAGCCCTCTTCTCCCTTAAGCTCTGAAGGCCCCTGAGTTAGGCTACCCCTCACCTGTAGGTCATGGGTCACCTCTACCATACCCTTGGGCAGGGAGATGGCAACAGCCTTCTTCTGCATCTTCCCCATCCAGATCTTCAGCTGTTCCTTGGTCAGCAGCTTTTCAAGGCGCTCAAGGGGCTCCACATGGTGAGGCATGATGATGATAAGGCTGGAGAGCTTGTGGGCCAGGGGCATCTCCACAATTTGCAGTTTCTCCTTTTCATCGTCAAAGTAGTTGTAGAGGCCTGGAAGAAAGGAAGAGCAGGACTCGGGCATGCTGGGGGTGGGGGCAGACCAGTCCCCTCAGACACCTCCTCTCATCCCCTTGCTTTGCAAGGCACCTAGGCACCTACCTGTGCGGTGCATCATCGTAACGCCCACAGTATAGGACCGGGTCACCATGAAGCCACGGTTGTCCACCATCTTATGGTGAAATTTCTCGTCCCAGTGTGCTGTAGCGGGAGGCAGAACATAGAGTCTACTACAAAAAACATGCCCATATAAGATCATAGCCCACATACCTCCAACTGCACACCCTGGGTTTATCCCTGCCACCGGACCTTTGCCCTATTCCTCAGGGCCCAGCTGTGGCCAAGTACATGTCTCTGCTTTGGAGAGGGGGTCTTGGCTTGAGGACATGCTGTCTGAGGCTGTGGGTCTCTGCAGTCAGGGCTTGGTTGCTCCCACATGGCAGGGAATTCCTTCTGAAGGAGGACCCTCAGCTCAGCCAGCTCTGTGTGTACCTGTATACCCTGCTCTGGAACCTGTGCTGAACTGGACTTTCCACTCCACCTGCTAAGTGAGGGGTCTGTGTCCTGGGCAGGAAGTACCCTAAAACCAACCTTAATTCTTGTCTGCGAACTCTCTCTCTGTGGCCAAAAACAATGACCAAAACACAATGTATGTGACCGTGGCCTGAGTCCTTGCCCTTATAACAGATCTGTGTTCAAATCCAGACATAACCACTGACTGACAGTAAGATCTTTCTTTCCTACCCTGCTCTCCTCATGTGTAAAACAGAGGTTGCCTCCTCCTCATAGCAACTAAGGGAAACAAACCTTTTCCTGCGGTACTTAAAACTTTCATTGACCTCCATATCTAATATTCAATTCAATATTGACTCTGAGTCAGACACACCTGGGACTGAGGCCTGGCTCTGCTACCTCTTCTTACCTGAGCCTGTTTCCTGTGAAATGAACGTGGCTCTTCCTGACCCCAGGGTTCTTTGAGGGTGGTCGCATGTGTTAGGTGATGGATCAATGTTAACTGATGCCAAGACCCCTACTCTTTGAAGTTTTAACATCTCTAAAATCAGATTGCATTTTATGTTGTTGTTGTTGTTAAGTGCCTTCAAGTGGGTTCCGACCCATAGCAACCCTGTACAGGGTTTCCGAGGGTGTAAATCTTTACGGGAGTAGAAAGCCTCATCTTTCTCCCGCGGAGCGGCTGGTAGTTTC